GCAAAAAAAGTAGTGATTTGGTCAAATGTGGTTAGCGACACAATTAATATTCAAATTCAGTACAAATTTTGACACTTTTTAAGTGCTTGGCAATAAGTTTACTGATTATAATCGAGCCAGTATGTGTCATTAGTGAATCTTGTTTTGCAGGTGGTGAAGGATTCTTCCATGACCGCAATCCTGATGAAACACGTGATCTAATTGAGAGAGTCCTTGCATCAGAAGCTGCACGACAAGATGAAGAAAGGCGAAATACTCGTTCTGGTCCTACTGTAACTGGTAAGAGTAAGCGAAAACAGAAAAGGAAACAAGACATAGTGGAAACGTTAACAAAAAAGGGTGAAACAAAATCTGACGTCTATAAACGCCTTGAACAGAGGTTAAAGAAGGCAGAAGACACAGATTCAAGTGATTTTTATTTTTCACTTTGGGATTTTGGGGGTCAGTCAGTCTACCATATTACGCATCAGGTACGTGTATATTAATTTCACTTTTTTAACTCGCACTCTTTCAAAATTTCAGTTGATCAATGGGTCATGTTATAGGCAAAATGTTAAATATGCGACTCTGCAACTGCCTAGTTTTCACTGACAGGTGTGAGTACACATCAAACGTGCTAGGCAACACAGCAACGTATGTAGATACCAATCTATTTAACACAACTGTTGCTAAGTAGTGATAGGTATGCGAGGTCATATATCTTTGATGTACCTGTAGCTAGCTCACACACATCAGTTTTTACCTTCATGTTAATGCATTTTTTTAGTCTCATTCAGGTACAGCCAGAAAAGGGGACTTATAATGTGGGTATCATCCATATATGTAACCGTATGTGTGTTTGTGCATTACCAGCATTTTCTCAGGAGAAGATGTCAATCAAATTTGTAAATCAAGAATTATGTGTTGCAAAAGATCTGCAATTTTTTTTCATGTATGAATTTCCTAAATGGGACTTTTTCTTGATTTTCGTCTACAATCTTCTTCAAAAACCCATTAACTGTCACATCAGTATAGTTCAAAATGTACCAAATGGTTGGCACAAATTGAACTATACTGATGTGAGCAGGGGCGTCAGCTTGGTACTTGTTCTGCCTTCATTATTTTTTTTACACTGGCATTCAATGTTCGGCATCAACAGTTAGCTTATTGTTTGGAGCAGACCCTTTCATTTTAATTTTTTCCAGTGTTGAACCTCCTCACATTTATGACGGCTTTTGTGTGTTGCCGCGATTTACATTGTCATTCAAATAACAAGTTTGCTGAAATCTCGACAGAGTGATCAAATATTTTGAGAAACCTGAACTTCAATTTGCTCTTAAATAAATAAATTGTAGTACGATTATACATATCTGAATTCTATGTCTATGAACACACACCCACAATTATTTACCCGTAAACATGATTGAAAATATAGTAGAGTGAAGATAGCTTAATTGCTTACTTAATTTACATGTGTAAGTAATGATTAGGCTTACAAATATTGATTTTTTTAAAACGAGTAACATTTGACCTGTTGCAGCTGGAAATTATTGGCACTCATCTGGTTAACTCTGTGACATTTTCTTACCTTGCAATAAAACTGAATCGCGTGACAAGTTCTAGAGCTCTCTGTCAGTAAGACACTCCATTTTAGTTTTTGGAGTGAGCTTAGCCCATGTTGCCATGTGTAGGAGTTTTGAAGTCTGTCAATTTGATACAAAATGTCAAAGCAGTACGTGAATTCACAACCTTCATTGAGTGTCTAAAACCCTTGCCCTGGCGGCAATTGTCTGCGTGGATTTTATGTAAAGTAAACAGCAAGTTGTGACTTCTATATTCCTTTGGATTTACCTGTTCAAGGCATGAACAATAATTAATCCACAGTAACATTCACAACGTAAATTTTTCTACAATGTAAATTTTAACATGTTTTTATTTGTAAATGTACACCTAGTGGGATCAATAGGTCAGGGTTGCCTGCTTATCATGATATAATTATCAGGATTCACGCTGGTCGCGTGGAATGATCAACATCCTGAGCATTTGAATAATCAGAAAGAAATTCGTGCTGATTTGTTTTTAGCTCTACAGTCGACTTTGTCAAGAGAGCTTATCATATGAGTGATCGTAAGACGTCGTCGTCCGTGTCAATCTTTTACTTTTTCGACTTCTTCTTGAAAACTACACGCCTGAATACTTTGATACTTGGTGTATATGTACCTGGGCCTCTCTTAGATTTGTTCATTTTGTAATGATATCTTTAATTCTGTAATTTTGGTGAATCTTTTTGTCATTTTTGGTAAAAAGTGATATTTTCGACTTCTTGTAAAAAACCGCAAGTCCAATTGCTTTGATATAATATATATAGGTACTACATGTGCGCCTCTCTCAAATTTGTTCATTTCGTGATGATATCTTTAATTCTCTAATTTTGGTGAACATTTTTTACATTTTTGGTAAAAAGTGATATTTTCGACTTCTTGTTAAAAACTACAAGTCTGATTGCTTTTATATTACATATATAGGTACTACATGTAGACCTCTTTCAGATTTGTAAATTTCGTGGTGATATCTTCAATTATCTAATTTTGATGATTATTTTTGTCATTGTTGGTAAAAAAGTGATATTTTTGAATTCTTGCTGAAAACAGCAAGTCTCGTTGCTTTGATACTATACATATTGTTCATTTTCTAATGACATCTTCTGTTCTTTAA